ATGGAAGTCTGAATATGGTCAGTGAAGACCTGATCTGAACCCCCTGCCCCCATGCAGCTGTGCTCAGCATGTTCGGCCGACCTGAAGTGCAGATGGAGTTCGACTCAGTGAATAGCCTAATGCCGCTGAGCGGCATTCGGCTCGGCTATTCTGCTCGGTACCTCTGTGGTACTGAGCAGAATAGAAAAACAGTTAAAAAAGTAGTAAAAAATAAAATAGAAAATGATTGGGAAGAGCTAGCAGTGACCGCTAGCTCCGCCCAACTGTTTTCTTTTGGCCGGGTGGTCCTGCTGCCATCAGAATAAAATAAAAATTCACCATAGGAATGCATTGCTAGATTCTTATTGGCTATTTGAAGAAAAAAAAGACAGAGCAGGGAAAGGTTTACTCTGCTTGATCGAGCAGAGTAAACCTTTCTGGGAAAAGTGTGGCCTGGAGCCGCTATCAAATAGCGGGGGACTCCTGGAGCGTCCGGGAGAGTTGGGCTGTCTGGAGATCAGTGTCCCTGGTTACCAGGTAACCAGGGACGCTGATCTGTCTGTGCAAGTTGACGGAGCCAGCCGTGAGATGACGTTCGGCCAGCCTCGGCTTTTACCTTGACTCAGTCGAGCCAAGGCATATGCCTTCGGCTCGACTGAGCCGCTCGGCCGACTTCGGGAGCTGTAGGGCTATAGTGAATAGCCCGTACAGCAGCCCTTTGGTTCTACGGAACCGAAGGGGTCCTGGGGCCGAAGCTAGCCGAAGGATCAGCCGAAGCTACGGCTAGATCCTTTAGCAGCTTAGTGAATAGACCCCTAAGAGTTTTTGATGGCTCATCCCTACTCTACATCTCAAATAGTTGCTTGAAGGCTAGAAAGTAAAATTAATTTAGTGATTTTAGCTAAACTAATTTTGATATGAAAACTATCGATTTCAACTTAGAGGTACTGGGGTAATGTAGTTTTTTTCATGTTAGGGGTGTGTTTATCAGTCTTTCAATGGTCAGTTCCACAAACATTCGCCCATTTTTTTTATCAGGGTTGTATTTTTGGCATTCACATATTTACCACATTTCTTTTAACAAATTTTGACCCATTTACAAAAGAGATTTGCCCCACATTTGCCAGGTGAATATTGCATCAAACAACACTAGTCCACATCAGTTCAATTGAAAAAGTGCTTTACTATACTACTCAACCTATTTATCACTCAGTGAATGTAGATGTGTTTGAAAATTGGTCAAACATTTGCCCATCTTTCACCTTGCACAACATTCAAACTATTCCATGGCTTGGATTAGGGAATATATATTTCAAACTGCTTCTTTGCCATATAGCTGTGGATGTTTTGCCTGTGGAGAGTACTGAACCTGTTTTTTAATACATGTTTCTGTTTAATAATTGTTTAATTAAAAATGAATTCAAACCCCTTCCCAGATATAACCAGCCAGTTCACCAAGAATGCAGGCTTATATCCTCATAGCAAGAGAGCACCTAGCATTCAGCCCCTCTGCTATGCTGTTACCAAGCCACTTGCACTTCAGCATTGGGAGGTGCATTAAAGGGTGTTTCATCAAAAAAATGGCCTTCCCCCTTTAAAGGACTGCTGCCCAGGAGGGGCACTGGACACCTTTGCACCCCCAATACCCAGAAAGGGCAGGCAGAAAGGTGGAAGTTTATGGACCTTTCTTGGGATACAAGAAAGTGGTGAACTGGTTTTAGGGCTTCAAAAGTGCATTTGGGCTTATCGGGAGGGGGGGTTGCACACTTGCTATGGGGATACCAACCTGCATGCCTGGCATGCTGGGCTGGTTAGCTCTGGGTTGGGGGCACATTGTTTCTGGGGGGTTACGAATTTAAAAAAATAATTATATCCTGCCAGAAATTACTGGTTTTCATATATTCCCTATTACATCAACAAGTCTACAAATGTTTTGGTTTAGATACACTTTAATTTCACCTTTCCTATTAACTTTAGTACATTTCAAAATTGAGAAAATTCTCCCAAATCTCACAATTTTCACCAAAATTTCAGGGAAATGCATAGCCTCATTTTCAATAAATTAATAAATGTCCCAGCTTCAGTGGCAGTAAAAAATGCCCCACATTAACGCGTGTAAAAAAATGCACTGCCATTAGTGATCAGTGGGAGTAAAAAATGTGTATGATGATTCTAAGGTATATCTTCAGGGGCTGAATTACACTCTTCATTCAGTGGCGTTCTTCAATGTGAAATGAAGATGCCCCGCATGTGGGGCCTTGCAGGACCCAGTTTACAGTAAGTAATGGACCTTAACTAGCCCACAGGCTGTACTAGCCCACAGACAGTGGACCTAAAGTGATGTGAAAGTTCAGATTAGAGTTTCTTTCGATATGTATTTTTAAACTCAGACCATGCTTAATACAGAACTGAAATGCTATGTTTCCAATTTCCAATTTTACATAGCTATGAAAACTGAATAAAGTATATCATTCTCTCTAGATTGCTGTTCACATTTTAGAACAATTTACATACATATTAGTGTCCCTTCACTAAAGAGAATGCCTGCATCCATTTCACAGAGTATATAACAGTCTCAGAACCTCTCCATGATTTCCAGTCTGCAATTTAGCCATGTTGTACAAAAAGTAAATGTAGAAATTGTTCCTATGGGTTTTGAAGCAATTTGAGCTCCTGCTATTTCAAAATCAGAAATTCCAAATGTTTCAAAACACTGAAAGTGGATACATGGTGTTCAGCTAAAGAAACTGTGACAATTGCTTGAGTTTTTACTTTACGTTTTGTTATAAAAAAAACTTGTGAATAGCCTCGACAGTGGCCCCCTGCAATCACCTCTCACCCTAATAATCAAACCATTAGAAACATATGAATAAGTAAGGGTTCATAGAGAGGTATAAGACTAATGCATGGATAAAATATAACACATTTTTTAGACATAAATAAATACAATAAAATGTATACAATTAATAAATAAACATGTACAATACCACCACTGCAGCCTGAAAGAGCATATGCCCAGAAAAATACAACCTCAATCAAGTATGTCTATTTAGCAGCTGAGATTCCAGGCAAATTTATTGGTATAATATCCAAGTATGTAAATATGTAACGTGTTGTCCCGACGCGTTTCGCATAGAGCTTCTTCAGGGGACCAACATTGTCTAATGTAACAATGGAAGTTGTATATAAAATTAATATCTTTGTACATATTAGAATAATAACACATATCAATCATCAGGCTGCGCATAAAGTGAAATAACGCATTCAGGCAATCATACAAGCAGGTAGGTAGCCCTCCTGGAAATAGGCATCCGGTACTTACCACACACATGCAGTGTCTGGATTGGGACCGATGTTTATGGACCAGGAGAGTGAAGGGGGCTACAGAGAGCCAGCCCACCGCATCCCGTCCGTTGTCACGCCAGGGACCCCGGGACCACAGAGAGAGGAGCGTATAGGACAGCGCGGAAGATCCAGCCCACTCGTGCTGGGACAGATTCTGATAGGCAAAGTGCTTGAGGATTAGTCTAACCAGCTAGTGATGATATCCTTATTGATCCGCCTATTAAATAAAAGCATAAAGCGTTTCTAAGAAATTATCTTTATCATTAATATCAAGTAGACCAGTAATTCTACTCCTCCCCAAATGTATTTCCAGATTCTTTGGAAGCAGGCCCTTGGCCTCTTGGCCAGTAACAGCCTACCTGAACTAGTGATAAGCTTAATACCCATTAACCCCTAAACTTTGTTTATAACCTGTGATATCTCCACATTGGGGTGTGTATATTAAGTAGCTTATAATCCAAATACTCTATATAACCATGTGAAAAAAGGGGTAAAAGCCTGAATATTTACCCATATAAATTGCTTTATAATGTGTAAGTGCTAAAACAAATTTGCATGTGAAAGTATCATCTTGCTTATATCAGCAGTAGAAGAAAAGAAGATAATTAGTAAAACTAAAGTGCGAGTGCTAAGTGAAACAAACCAAGATGAATGCTCTGTCAGGCTGTAGTGGTGGTATTGTACACATTTTTCATATACTTCTAATTACTTTTTATGCTATCCAGTAGGAATTTCAAGCTTTTTGTTTTGGTTCTTTTGATAATTTTGCTATCCACTAAAAGACAAGTCACTTAAAATATCCTTTTTTTTAGCCAAAAGGCCTAAAAAAACAATAGCAACAAAATAACATAACATGCTTTTTCCTTGCTAGAAAAAGAGCAGTAGGGATGAGCGAACTGTGCAAAGTTCTTAGTGGAAGATTTGCCAACCCTGAACATAGCGTTCAAACCACATTGAAATCTATGGGAACTGAATCTTGCTTTTTTCTGGCTCTGTTCAAGGTCAATTTGCAATCTTTTCTTAACAATGAACATGGGTAGCCAGGCACTGCTATGGGGAACATGTAGCAATACAAAAATGTTTATAAAAAAATACCGCTCAGTGAGGAGCAGCTTTTTAATGTGGCTTTAAGGGCAACAAAAAACATAAAAAAAACATAAAAAATACACAATTCCTTTAAAGAACATTCTTGGGTATGCCCTCAACCTGCATGCAAAGTTGCACACCAGGACGATGTGCTCCTGCAAAAAAAACTGATTGCCGATAAATAAGAGTTCCCAGTCGACTTCATTCTGTTTGTAGAAATTGGTGTGTGGTCTACATAAAAAAATCTATACCAGGCCTGTATCTAGTGAGCATAGGTCTGGTATGGTTTAAGAAACAAATATCATGGGTTTATGCTCAAAATCCACACCAGACCCTTAACAGCCTGGTATGGATTTGGAGGGGGACCCTAGGCAAAAAAAAAAAAAAGGTTCCCCTTCCCCACTAAAAAAAAATTCATACCAGACCCTTTTCCAGGCAAGCCGCCCTTGCCAGGAAAGGTGGGGGCTACAGGGGGGACTCAGATCAGAATCTGGAAGCACGCTTTAAAATTAGGGAGCACTCAGATAACCCCTCATGTAAGGGGTACATAGCCCTTGTTACTCACAAAACAAAGTTAAATAGTAAATAAAAATATCCACCCAATTCCTTTATTAAATAAATAAATGTTCCTTAACCCTTTTTCTGACTGATGACAGCCCTATACCATCATGATCATTTAGTTAATTAATGACCGTTGAGGGGATAATCCCGTCATGTGTTACAATGTGCGCTGGTCCATGGAGGAACCAGTGTTCATTGAGTTACTGCTGTTGATGGGTCCCTCGTGGCAGACCCTCAACAGCAGATTAGGTGGTCACGGCACTTTGATCACAGCGATAGCTGATCGCTGTGATCACAGAGCTGTGACAGCCACAAAGCCAACAGCAGCTGATTGTGTTGTGCAGCTGCGAGCCAGCTGTGTGTCACAAACTGATACAAAGTATCTCTGAGGAGAATACTGTATTCTCCTTACAAATGCTAATTATCAAAGTCCCTGTAAATAAAAAAAAAAAATAACCACTAAGTGCCCCCTCGTTTTAAACATTTAAAAAAAAGCTTTTTACTAAAAACTCCTAAGTGCTATGACAAACAAATAAATACATGCCTAATAGTGCTTTAATCTAAAATAATCTTCTCATCTTCCATTTTTAGCTCTAATGCATGCTGTCGTATTTGGAAACGTCACAGCCATCATTCAGAGGATGTACTCAAGAAGGTCTCTCTACCACACGCGTACAAAGGACCTAAAGGACTTCATACGAGTACATCGCATGCCCAAGCAGCTCAAGCAAAGAATGCTGGAGTGTTTCCAGACAACGTGGTCTGTCAATAATGGCATTGATGCTAATGAGGTAAATTAGAACAGTCGGATTTTTTTCCATTTGGATGGTCCATTTGGGTTAAAAAAATATGCTTCAGTACTGTAGGATCTGGAAGTTAATTGACATTTGTATTGGTCTATCCACTGACTGTAAAATTACAGATATATTTAATTTCTTTGCGATATCAAGTGTATAATGTACCACTGTAGAATTCTTGTCAGCAGAACCAGCAAGTTATGGAGACATTTAACAAATAATTCTAGAAAGAAAATACAAAACTGTAAAGGCAATTATGGTAACTCTGGGGATCCCTAAAAAGACATAAAAACTAAACAGTTCATAGTGATGCTATTGCAAAGCAAAATGACATAATAAAAGCCCTAAAAATATAAACCATAACAATATCCACATAAAAATAATAGACCATAAAACAGCAAACAGAAACAGCAAATAAAATAAAACAAACAATAAGGGAAGAAGCAAGTATCAATACAAGGAAGTCATAGTGAGCATAGTCTTCTTTTAGTACAAATATATATCCATGTAAAGAGTTTGTTTATTTGTGTATATAAAGCAAAAAAAAGTATTCATAGAGTTTCACAACCCAGGTGAATCACCTTTTGGAGCCAGTACCAGGAGCTAGGTCATTTCTGGTGTCTCCTGGACTTCATGAGGTCACATCAGATCATCTGAGGCTGGTTTTACTGCTGATGAATCCTATGCTTGCTAACAGAAGACTCCCATTGTCAGATAAGAAAAGCTTGGCACGCTGAGGCCATGTAATTCCACCGCTCACATTAAAGATGACACAATAGCTTCTTCTATTGCCGGAGGCTGCATGTATCTGTGTAGATCTCAGTACAATAGAAGCAACTATTGTCAGTCTCTAGAAACACACTGAAACACACTGATGCAATGCATACAGATCTGGCAGTTACTCCTCTATTAGATACAAATGTCCCAAAGAGACTTATAGACCCGTCCTCTCTCTCTTATTTTTCACAGCCTCAATGCTGTGGAATTATTTAATACGCTGGAGTCCCTCTGCAATGATGGCATCAAAACATTTCCCCTCTTTTTGTGGCATAAATATATTTATATATATAAATAAAAAGTTTTACTGGAGTATTATAGTACTATGTGAGGCCCTGATTCATGGCACATGAGAGTCCCAGTCCTGACCAGCTGCTTGCAGCACTTGAGTATTAATCTTTTTCTGTGTAGTTTGAAGAAAGCTTCCACATTATTTCTAAGGAATTTTGCCACTGGCACTGAATGTGGCATCAAAGTGAATTTGCCAGTTCTTAGATATGACCCATTTGGGAATATTGCGCTGTAATTGACCCCTGTGTTGCAGCTCTCCCCTGAACTACACTGTATGTACTGTCCTATGTCACAACTCTCCCCATACTGTCTATAGCAGCTTCCTTCGGGTAGGTTTTCACCTACTCTCTACACTTGTTCTCTGGTAGCCTTTACCTCATTGTCCACACTACAGTCTGATCATAACTGCACCTTTTCATACTACCCTCCTCCTCAAACTATCTGCAATACTGCCTCTCTAAGAAGAAGGAATAGTACTGTGCACAGATGTTGGTTTAGTTCACAACAGTGAATCTACGTACCAACACAACAATGCAGCATCGCTCTGCTGTGTCCCTCCTGTCTGTACTATTTATGTCACCCACATTCACCTGCCATTCCCAATTTGCATCCCTCCTTTCCACCCGCAAACATGATTACCCCCAGTTCTGCCTTTTCTCTATCATGACCGATTTTTGCTCTGCCTCCCTATGCCACCTCTAACACAAAGAATTTCCATTCTGAAACCCTCCTCCCATCACGATCACCTCCAATTGTATCAGATGCTGCTGCTCTCTTTCTTTGGGCCATTATCAGTTACCACTCTGCCTCTGTTATCCATGGTCCACAGCCAGTTGTCAATCTGCCTTCTCCCCCAGCATGTCTGCAATTGGATTAATCTTAGCATTCTCTCTCAGTGTAACATGATAATGATCACCAGCAGCACTACTTTCCCCTCTAACCCTCAGCAACAACAAACTTCTTCACACTAAGCCCCTACACAAGATTCTATTCATATATTAATAATGTACTGCGTGACTTTTAAAATGCTGTTGTATAATATCCATGTATTCTTCTGTATGCAGCTTCTTAGAGATTTTCCTGATGAGCTCAGAGCGGATATAGCCATGCACCTTAACAAGGAGATCCTTCAGCTGCCAATCTTTGAGTCAGCCAGTCGTGGCTGCCTACGTTCTCTATCTCTCAGCATCAAAACCTCCTTCTGTGCCCCAGGAGAATACCTGATCCGGCAAGGGGATGCTCTACAAGCCATATATTTTGTTTGCTCTGGATCCATGGAGGTTCTGAAAGACAATACTGTTCTAGCCATTTTGGGTGAGCATTAACAATCCAATTATCCAGCTTCTCATATATCTTATTTAAGAGTCTTCCAGTTTGTTTAAAGTGTATTTCTACTTTTGCCGTCAATTTTGAGAAAATCCCTCTATATGCTTGTTATGCCTTCCCATTCACACAGCATACTGAACAATAATAACATTTCTTACCTTTTAGATGTTTTGTTACAGCAGGCAAAATGACTGATTCCAAGTTTTTCTGAGCACCTTCACAGTGACCTGTCCTCATAGAAAGATTTAGGGCAGGAATGTGTGTAATGTGTTTCCCTCATTCACATGCAATGCAGAAGCCATGCGTTTAATCCATTAACCCTTTGTTAGGACAGCCAGTGTTCAAATCTTCTTTACAAATTATAATGAAATCAGCCAGCACAGTATAGACAGGGTTAAGAGAACCCCCTCACAGCCCCTACTACCATTACAAAGAAGGAGAACCCAGTCCACATTTTAGCAAGTATAAAGCAATTTAAACTGAAAGAAGTATTTTTTTAATTGTTTTCTTTAGTTTATGCGATGTGAATAGGAACATGTAACAAATATAAAATAGCTATTATTTTAATTTGGCTGCAACAATGGAATTACACTTGAAGGTCTGACAACAAGCAAATGGGAATGTGTGGCGCAAAATAAATAGCCAGAGCCAATCAGCAAATGTTATAGTTTGCTGCAGTGGTAGACAACCATATTTGACTGCAGCTGCTTTTAGATATGGAAATTGCCTGACTGCACTGTGTTAGATATGGAACTGTGTTTTTTGTCAAATTGAAAATGACTGGGGGTAATAGTAGTAGAAATCATGTAACCTTCACTTATGCATACTTGCTGCCTGTCACGTGCCTAAGAGGAGTCTGAAGTGTTGAGGGCTGCCTCTCTCACAGCTCTGGGCCTGGGGCACCTGGATTGGGTACAGGAGCAACGGGGCACAGAGGGGCAGGAGTGCCAGTAGATGATGGATCCGCTGAGCAGTAGATGCAGAGATGGGTGCAGATCCAAGTAGACAATGGATTAAGCAGAATCGTCAGGACAGGCCGAGGTCGTTAACATGCGAGCAACGCAGTACCAGGGAATGAGGCAGGAACAACGTCTGGAGCAAGCAGAGGGTCGAAGCACTGGAGAGAAGCAGAAGGGTCAAGCCAAGCCAGGTCAATAACAGATAAACAACTCAGGAACAGGATGCAGGAACACAGGGAAGATGACAAATCTGACAGCACAGGAGGGTTGGTAGTCACAGCCTTACAGCCCAGAGGGCGCCAAACATTCAAACACGTTGGCACGTGCACATTCACGCAGAGACGCCGCACTTGATACAGCTCTATGGGCTGCACCAGGCGCATGCGCAAACGGCAGAGTAAGAATCCTGGCTCTGGCTTCCTGACACTGCCTGTTCATTGACATAACAATAGCTATAGTAGCCCATGTGGCAGCTATGGAGCCTGCGGTGGGAAGGGGGCCCCATTAGGGAGGGGATTAAGGAAAACTAAACTATGAAGTTTCCAGTATAGAAGGGCCGAAGTCAAACTTTAGGATGGTCGGTAGCCACAAAGTCTCCTCTGTGAAGTGTTGATTAATTGTCCTCTGAACTTCAAGTTCAGGAGGGCAGTATTTTCAATATGAAGTTAAGATCTAGAATGCATGGACATGACCTCAAGCTAGCAGAAGGGAAGTTCAAAACTAACCCTAGAAATTATTTTTTTTACCAAATAAGCAGGGGTTATTTGGAACAGACTTCTAGCAAAGGTTTTAGGTGAGTCAGCAGTAAGTGAATTAAAAAATGCTTGGACAAACACAGATTTATACATTATACAAAATTGGTGAAAATAAAAACAAAAGGGGGCAGACTCAATGGACACATGGTCTTTATCTGCCCTCACTCTTCTATATTTTCATGTTTCTGGTAAATGTCTAAATAGGGTTATAAGAATATTTGAATAGATCTTGCCAGTGTATTATGACATATCTGGGGGACATACCTGATATAATATTTATTTGAAGCAAGTATTAGCAAATCCTGACATTTTTTGTGACTTTTCCAGGAAAGGGAGATTTAATTGGCTCAGATAATCTCAATATAAATCGGGTAATCAAAACCAATGCTAATGTAAAAGCACTAACGTACTGTGATCTGCAGTATATCAGTCTAAAAGGCCTGCGTGAAGTTCTTGAACTCTACCCAGAATATTCCCACAAATTCATCTCTGAGATCCAGCATGACCTCACCTACAACCTCAGAGAAGGCAGCGAGATAGATGTGAGTACAAGCTGTATTTATTAACATTTCATTTGTTAGTGTTGTTGCAAATTTCAGCTACGGTTTCTCACCACTTTCAGGAATGTGACCTGTAAATTTATGGACATTTAACAACATGTGGAAATTGTTTTGGCCATAAAACCAATTAAAATGAACCAGAAACAAAAGTGCTTAAGGTAACAAAGGTGCAGAAATATCTTTTGTTAGTCTTTAAAGTGAACCTACCTATGCAAAATAAAGTAAAATGTTAGCTATACCCTTCACCAGAATGGTATTCTCACTTCTCCTTTCTCCCTTGCCATTCTGTTCAGCCATCCATAGTAAGGTGGAATACCCAACACATTGGAGTATGAATGAGCACATGATTAATTCCTCCTCCCTCGTGTAAAAGAGCTGGTACTTTGTGATTGGCCTAGTGCTGTCACATGGGGCCAAGGAAGGAATCCATAGTCCTGTGTAAGCCTCAAATAGTCAGTTTGGAGCTTACACAGGGAATTCTTTCTTCTGTCCCAACGGAAATGGAGCAGAGGGGAAGCGTGGAAAAATAAGAATATGCCGCTGGAAACGGGGTTGATAAGTGAACCTTTAACTTTGCCCTGCTTGGGACTTTAAACCAATCTATTGGTTTTAAATCTACTAGTGATATGCCTAGCCCCTCTCATTCAGCTTTCTCAGTGGACAGTAAGACTTCTGAAATTTTACAGCTTAGGCTGTAAGGCAGGACTTTGTTTCAGGAGGAGGAGGGACTTTTTTTCAACTTTGCAAGAAGTCTAGGTCCTGTGTGCAACATTGGTATTGCAGGGGGCCACACAGGAACACAAGGATTACTTTGAAGACTAAAACAGTTACTTAATGTCAGCAGTATTGTTACCTTACTCAGTTTTAGGTCACTTTAAATATTCTAAACTGTACATAAATTTTCAGGACAGTAACCGCTTTATCAATCTTTTAAAAAAAAATGCCATCTTATATGAACTATTCAGATTATAAACATCTCTCTGGTGCATAAGCAGTGAACAAAAACATTGCTCTAGTCCATCTCTCAAAAAAACAGTTATTCCCCAATTAGGCATTGCCATCTTTCCTCTTACACAATAGAAGTCAGGCTGTCAATCACAGCCCACATGTTGAAGACACCGCAGCACTTGTGAAACTGCTCTCTGCATATGTCGGTGGCCAGAATAGTGGCTAAAGATGGAGATAAGGACTTTTAAAAGTCATGTGGGTTACAGTGCATGGCTTTCTTTTTTTTTTTCTATCTTCAGTCTTTCCAACATGCTCTGTAATGAGTGGCAACACAATAGGCTGTACTAAAATTCAGAAGAGAAAAAGAAAATAAAACACTGGGCGCCTGACCTGGTGCAATAATCCTTTTATTAATGGAAATAATAAAAAAAAACCTCTTCATACTAACAAATGGAGCAAGAACAATGTCACATTGGACTTGTAGTCCTCACTGGGTGAACTGCTTTGCAAATAGATGAATTGTTCATGAGCTCTGCTAGATGTAGAGTCTCACTGACACTTAGCTAAAGGCGTTTTTGGGGAACTTCCCCTTCTTCTTTTGATCT